GGCTGTGTTTGTGTGCGTGTGTGTGTAGGGAGGGGCGCCAAGCTGCGTACATCAGGGAATTGAGGCGTGCACACGGTATGGATAGCAGGCGTGGTTGGCGGCCAGCAACAGCCACCCGCACCTCCTCATCGACATTGACATCACCACTGCTGCTGCTGTACCCCCGCTGAGGCTGCTGTTGCTGTTGCTGTTGCTGCTGCGTCTGGGCCCGCGTGCCCGCGGTTCCTACAGCGCAGCAGCACGCTGCGGCGAGCGGCACCCTCAGCCCCATGGACAGCTGCAGCCCGAACGCCCCAGACACACTTCGACCCAGGGATGCAAGCATTTTGTGTGGATTAGGCCGGCTGTGCGCGCACGCCAACTGCTCTGATCGCCCGCCTTTCGTGGTCTGAAGTGACACTGACAGTGATCCAGCAGGATTCGTTGCAGGGTTGGACGCGAACAAACTTTCATGGACGGTACTATGCCTGCGTTGTGATCCTTGACCAAACGAAAGAAGGCGCAGCAGATCACCGAGAGTCGCGATCGCACTTCTGCGGCGTGCCTTTGGACGAGGGATCAGCGCGTGTCACTTCAAGGCGCAAACGCGCCGCCTAGGAAGCGCCACGTGGCGACCGCAAGTCGCACGAGTCCTACCCGGCCAGAACGCTACGCCGCCTCGGCAGCAGCCGCAATGCCGCTCGGCAAGCGAAGCGACTGCGGGGATGCACGCTTCGCAGGCGTCGAGATCCCTTTTGCACATGATGTTGCGGACGCCATGCAGGTGTGCGCTGTGCGCGCAGGGAGGGCTGCTGGGGCAAGCCGCGACGCTGGGGGCACTGCGAGGTTGTTTGACCAACCACGCCCCGCTGTGGCGCCCTGCCAGCGTGCCTGTGAGCCACGCCCCTTTTCATCGCCACCTCTCACCCCAGGCTGAGCTGCTGTGCGGCTTCGATTTTGTGGTGGCGCCACTAGTGGACTCGGCCCACCAGCAGCCGGCGCTGGAGCTGCCGCCGGGAGAGACGGCTGCGCCGCGCACGCGCCGCGAGCTGATGCTCTCCTCGGCGCAGTGGGGTGGCCAGGTAGGCGCGGGTGCAAAACTGTTGTCCAGTACTCAATGAAACAGCCGGGACACGCATCAGGCTTGTGGGCTCAGGGCCTATTCACATGCGTTGAAGCACTTGCAGTCACTGGCCCACTTGCAGGCGTGGCCCTCGAGGGCCAGGGCGTTTGGTGGCATCTCGTCCGGGCTGACCGCGCTCATCCGCAATGAGGAGCCCTTGACAAGAAGCGGGGTGCCAACACCGCCTCAACAACCCCCTCTTGCCCCACAACAACGACCGCAGATTGTCGGCAAAACGAGTGAGTGGATTCACCCCGACTCATCCGACGCTGACCTGGCGGCCCGCAGCGCGCGCGCCCTGGCACAGGAGATAGAGTGGGCCTCCTTCCTCGGCCTGCAGGCCGTCGTCGTGCAGCCGCCCCCGCGCCTGGGCGCGGCGGTCAACTTTGCGCGGCTGGTCAACCGCGCGCTGGAGGGACTGTCGCACATGGCACTGTGGGTGAAGCTGCCGCTGGCAGCGGCCGCGGCAGCACCGGCGGCGGCGCGCAGACAGAAGCAGGAGCGGCGGCAGCGAGCCGATGTGGAGGCAGGGGCGAGCGGCAGCGGTGGGAGTACGCAGCAGCAGGGACAGCAGCAGCAGGAGCATCAGCAGCAGCAGCAGGAGCAAGGGGAGGCGGACCAGGCGGAGCGGGAAGGGGTGGATGAGCCGCGCGACCCCTGGGATGACTGGCAGCAGCTGTTTGCCCTCTGCGAGCGCTCCAACCTGCTGGGGGCCGCGCTGGAGGTGCCCGCGGACCTCCCGCCCGCCCCCCTCGTGCGCCGCTGGCTGGGCCAGCCGCTGAAGGCGCTGCTGCTGCCCACGTCGGTGTTTGGCACCAACAAGCGCGGCTACCCAGTCCTCAGCCGCGCCCACCAGGAGCTGGTGCACCTGGCCTTTGCCCACGGCGTCCAGGTCATCCTCACGGGAGACAGCAAGCACAGGGTCGCGCCCGCCCCCACCGCGCCGCCGCCGCCGCCGCCTTCGTCGGCCCCCAAGCAGCCGGCCGGCGGTGCCGAGGGCGCCGGCGGCGGCGAGCCCGGCGACTTTCCCATCGTGAACCCCGGGGAGAGCCACGCCCTGCGGCCTTACTGGGAGTACCTGTGCTACGTGTTCCGGCGGGTGGAGGACCCCAGCCCCAATGAGGTGCTGGAGGCCGGGTACAGGGACTTCCTGCAGGTGATGGAGGGGGGGGAGGGAAGGGGTGTTGTTGGCGGGGTGCACGCC